GGCCAGACCGCGGGCTGCGCGTCTAGGATTTGAACCCGATTCGGTTTGGTCAAAAGCTCCTCGGCAGCCTACCGCACCACATGGCTACCGTCGAAATATACTGCCTACTCACAAAATATCGGTAGACCACCTATTTCAAGTGTGCCCGAAAGTGACAAGCACAAGTGAAAATATTGGCTTAGATAAGCATTTGAGGAGAAGCGATTGCTGGAACACGGCTTCCAGTGTCAGGATCAGAGAAGTAAGCAGCCAATGAATTAGCAAGCCAATAATCGACGACGGTGACGAGACTGCGGCCCTTAACCAATCGGACGCGTGCGAGTCAGCCGCCACCGCACAAAGTACGATCACCGGCGATGGATGGGGGAGCCGTATGGAAGCTGCAGCCTACAAATACTACATGCCTTGTGCGTCCGTTACCCATATCAGTGGCTGCCTATGGCGACGGGTTCGGGTGATAATCCGAAACGTCAGGCATTCACTTCTCATGTCCGATGTGTTGGCTGACGCTAATATACAACCGCGCGCATGCAACATCCCCCAAAGGCGCATTGTCTTATTATTGTAAGCACAATGTCTAGCAGACACAGCACGAAATACGCACTTCTTTTCTTTGTACAGGATAGTTTATTGGCAGCTCCAAAGGGCAAGCGAGTGTAAACTGCCCGGGCCAAAAGACAGGGAGCCTTAACCCTTATATGATGGAGGAAAAGAAGGAAAGTCAATTTGAGCAGAGAGAAAGGGTCAAATAACAATTAAATTATCCTCTGTGCAATTGTGCACTGTCAAAATAGGGCCGGCGACATACATCAACCGGAAAACGCAGACGGGCAGGAGGCCTCGTTGGTGGAAAAGTTCTCCTCTACCTCCGGTTCGCTAAAGACGTACTTTGGCGGTGAAGTCCCAAGGACAACATCGCGATCAATTATGACGCTCACAATGTTTGACCCAGGCACATCATACCGTGGCTGTAAGAGAATTCTCTCCTAAAAACCAAAAACGCAGAACTATGAGTTAATTACAAACGGGAGAGACGATAGTACAAGCAAAGACCAATAACGGGTGGTTGGCACCACGTGAACGGATCATGCCTCGTAGCTGGGAAAGCATGAGACACGATAGTTTAATGGGTGTATGGGACAAACAATCGCCAAGCTCGCCAACTCAAGTACGTGCTACGGCTTTCGAGATATAGAATCGGCTGGATTCATTTCGAATCAAAGGTCGCCTTGCGATACCAGCGTAACAGATGCTCAGACTCAACACAGGTTCGCTTTGTAGATCATGAGGTGGATATCGAGTAATTTGTGCGTTGATAGGCGCAGTTAGAAAAGCCACTTCTAAATCGTGCGGTCGGCTGCTCGTCCCCGTGTCACGGAAAACGGCTTCTGGCCATATGGGTTTCTTAGTTCCTACAACTTGTAGCTACCACCAGTTACAGATTATGTTGAATAAAAAGAAAGGGGGACGGGAGTTAAACGGCAGGAATGTATTTGTATTCTGTGGTTTCATGTGATTACGCCTATCCGACTTCAGGAGCTCTGCGTAGCTCTCACTGCATGATTCAGGAATTGCATGCGAACTGTGCGTGGCACGTAGGTAGCTAATGCCGACCGTGGGTGCGAAACGGATCCGCGTTTCGCAGTAGTTTGCGTCACGCACGTCCTCGTCAATTGTGGCGATAATTAGTAGCCCCGATGACTTCAGGCCTTGAGTGCCTTCTTTCAAACCGGTTCATAAGGCCAGGTAGGGCACAAGTAGGTTTATGTGGGGGTTGACATCCAGGGTGCTTGCGACTGCCTTGACGTGTGACTGCCGCCTCGGTTCACGATCTTAACGGCCCCAAAACTGCAGAGATTTCCCGCCTGTGCGGCATGGGTCGCCAACCGCCAACCCCGAGCCTAACTTCCAAACGGACAGATGATAGGCATGAATCCGCATTCGTCGTTCGTTTCGTTGCTCATGTCACATTAGGAAAAGCGCATTCCGTTAAGGCAGGATGAAAAAGGGATAAATAAACTGGAAGCCGATACAGAATAAGTTACTCTGCCCACCGGTAAGGGGTGATCAACCGTTCTTCTTGACAAAACGAAATGCCCAAATAAAACTCGAGTACTCCTGGTCGGTTTCCAGTCCCCCGGAATCAACAGTGCTGGCGTCAGCGTATGGGTTTGCAAATTGGCTGTTCAAGAGACCGGGGTTCCTGACCACAGACTCACAAATAACAGTTCCTTCTGCAGAGCAGTTCCCGGACAAAGGGGAGACAGTTACGCCTGAAATAAAGAGTGTGTCCCCCACTTTTTCACAGGCAGTCAAAAGGGTCACTGGTTTGTTGGATCAACGCTTGAATGGGAACGGCAATCGGCCCACATCTTAGGATCTCGCAGTTTGTGATCACTAGTCCAGAATGTTCTCTACCCACAACGAGATCACATACGATTTCGGTTCATCAGTCTTCAGGATTCCCGCTGAGGACGCCCACCAAAATCACAAACGATGAATTTTCGAGGTTTAAAAACCCTAATTCTGGACATGCGCTACGTTGACGATGCCTTTGTCCTGACTGAACAGAACAACACTGAGTACTGTACAGAACGCCTGAACTCAGTCGTTCTGAAGCTTTAATTCACGACGAAGAAAAAGGAGGATGTACTCGTCTGGCGTCAACACGACAAACAACACACAGGAGATGCGCCGTTACAAAGGCAATTAACCATTCCAACAAACGAAGATTGATATGCATGCTATATCGATGTGGAGATTTATTGTCACGCCAGTGGTGCAATGAGACGACAGCATGCGCCCTTGGAAACTCTTCATAACAAATGAGTACTCCCTACTATTGACTACGCAGAGTCCTGTGGCCTTGTATTGGGCAGTTTTTGTGAACAAAAGCATGTGCAGCTGAGAGGAAGAGGACTCCACTGTTGTATTCCACTATGATTTGGATTGACAACCAAGCGCACGATCAGAGAGGGGGAGCAACAGAAAAGAATGCCGGGCACACAAGGCAGGGACAGTGTTCACAGAAGACAACTGTTACCAAATCATAAAACAAATAAAGTTGGAAGTTCCCGCGTTAATTCAGGGTCGCATGGCAACTTCATCCTGTAAATACTGTAAATCCTGTGCGATCGACACTCTTTCCTGTTGTGGTTTCCGATTATGGAGTTTGAGGGTGAGGTGGGACGGTCAAAGGATAAAATTCGGGTTCCAACAATCGAGATGCCCGTCTTCCCAACTACTCCCTTTCTCTTGTACAAAGCTCTGTGATCACCGCCACAAAATTGCAATGCAAGCCTCATATGGTGCCAATGCTGTATACTTTGTGATATTGCGGGAAATCTGGACGGCGCTCTAAAAATTGAGCCTTACGATTTCATTTCGCCTCAAGGTTACCGGCACATTATTCTTCCACTAACCAGCTTCGCGCAATAATTTAACGGTTTCCGGTTGTGCGCGAGACTGTGAATTATTTTATCCTTACTCTGATCTCGGAACTGTACTGCAAAAAGATAATCGCTGGTAACTTAGACCAGAAGACGTGAATAGATGCTGGCATGGAAAAGTACTTAATGAGTAGAAGGCATTACCACCTACACCTTATTACTCATAATCATGGACGCAGATGCCCAGGGTACGCATCAAAAGGGCTTTTAAGTTTCAACTTTCGCAAGCGGCAGACCATTGCTGGGAATTAGACGGCGGCACGATTTGGAAATCGCCAGGAGGACTGCAAAACAGTTGCGAGAAACGCTGCAGGTTATTGGGGTGGATCTGCATTCTCTGGCGCAATGGTTTTTCCTAGCTCTTCGGCATGTACCGCTCTTGGATAACTTATTGTTTGCGCCAACGTTCAGCAGTCGACCATTTGTCCATATTCTTGCGTCAGAGGGAGTGCAGTTTTTTAAAACTTGCACCAAGCACATCAAGGTAATAACCGATTGTAAACAAACTGTGGAAAATTTTGCCAGCTAGACTAAAGTGGGGTGCTTGAGTAACCAAGCCAAAAAATAAAGTTACAGGGAAGGACGACAATAATAAGGAATGAAATGAAACCGACCATTATTGCACGCAGCCCACGAGCTCCAGTCTTTGTAATCATAGCCTGCTGAGCGATAGCTTGGAGGGCGTCCGGAGTAACGTTCAATTCGCACTAGAAAGAGCAGTTAAAGGGCGCTTTTACATGCAGAGTAATATGTTGAGAGAAGAGATGCCCGTAGACTGCTCTCCAGGTTCACGTAGGAGGCATATCAAAGTGTGAGGAGAGGGTAGAATGAAAGGGAATAAGAACAATGAGGAGCAATTTCAGAAAGACCGGTGAGAGCTCCCATGTCCTACCTCATTAAAATACCTACCAAAATTGTGAAATACGCTTCAGATTAGCAGGATTGCTTAGTATATGCATAAATTAATGGTGGCTGTGCGACTTCCTGCAGGACTCCGAACCAGGCCTTAAGGCAGAACGTGACGAGAAGGTCCCGTAGCGCGACCGGTGAGTGCTCTCTACCATAGTTAGTATACCCGATCGCAATCGACAGGACGAGTTCTTGGCCCAGTGATTAGAGCGTCGGGCTTCTAACCAACAGAACGCGGGTCCGAACCTTAGTGGTCGCCAATCCGGAGCTGATTATCGCTGACCGATGGTGTCTAATGTGCCAAAAATGGTTATTCTAGTCTCCCTTTTCTTTTTCAGTTAACGTTCTCTGTAACCCTTAAAGAGTCACCACAAACGTGAAACCCCATCGTGAAATAAAATGAACGTCCACAACAAAGGTCAGAAACGATTATGCTTTCGATCAATTAGAAAACTTTTTCTAATAAGTTACCTTTTTAGGGAGTGTTTTAGCACTGCATTCCGCTGACGGATGTCTGTGTACTTTACAGTTTTACGCGGTTGCAGCCAAGAGAAAATTTGACACTTTTGGCCGTTTCTTTCATGTTGCAAAAAATACTGATATTTTCCTACCGCAAACGTGAGGACATGCTTTTCTCTTCATATTGCGTCCATTTTTGCTATCTTTGTCCACTTGTGGACTGCGTTCTACGATTATGAGTGTACGGCAGAGTGGCCATATAGATACTGATATTTTGCTGAAACTGCTAATGTTTTGCTTGTACCATTTATAAATTATGTATTTGCAAAAATTAGACTGTGTGAAAAGTAATCTTTAGTATGTTCGAAGCTGAAAATAACTATTCGGTGATAGGCACTTTGGTGTCAAAACAGAATTTTCTAAATGGCAAAGCAATATCGACCCATTTGAACGAATGATTGCCCGCATACTTTATTACTGCACTTTAGGGCGCAAAATCGCACAGATTTGCTAATCTGACTTTTGCGCTGAGTGGAATTTTGGTGTTTCACTCTCCCTCTTCCCTCCCCAAACTCGAACTACTGAATAGATAGAACGTTTAGCTTTTTAAAAATAACCTGTCTGTTAGCAAACCGATCCCCACGGTTAGCATCGAACAAATAACCAATTTTCAAGTGCGGCAAGCTCTGCTTAGTAACTTTCTCGAGAGAAAAAATACCCTCCTCTCGAAGAAAAACACGCTCAAGTGCGAAAACAAAGTCTAAGACAGGCGTTAACATATTAAACTGTCCGATTATTCCGAAACGTCTATTTTCGCCCAAATTTATGATAAAATCACGTGGACACATTTTCTGCACGAGAAAAAAATTTCCTTGAAGAGGCTGGATGACGAGCAAAATGCACAACGGTTAAGACGCCCAAATATTCTCACATCAGGTTCTGTCATCAGGCTTCATGTACCGTATAGGAGTGTTCATCCTCCCGCCCCGAAAAAGACGAAGAAGAGGGGAGCGAGTTCATGGACCGAAAGATATTTGAGCAGACGTTTCGGGAACTCCCTCGTTTCAATTACCAGAGTAAAATGCTAATTCTTCCTGTTGGCCTTGACTGCTTTTGCCCGACGTATGAACTTTGACCTATCCGTTCTCTGTTGATTAATGCTGGAGTCTCCGAGATTAACCGCCAGTGGACCCGAGTGAGCGTTGTCCCCCTTCACGGCCGTCGTATTTATTGACAAGTCAGCGTGCTTGTTGACCTCTCCCTGGAAAGCCAATGGACTGATCAGTTGTTGGGGTTCGTGCAAGTGGATTTCAGTCTCATGGGCGCGGCGGTAAGGAAGTGTTCAGCTGGCTCCTCTCCTATTTTCCACGATAGCTCGAAACGGCGGACCAACAAGCAACTGATCCCCGCGATCGCCTCCCTGTCTTCTTCTATTCAAATGCCTGAGCTGTGCAGAGAGCGCAAGGGTGTCTCGTGTAATGCTTACGGCAATCTCTCTTCCCTAGCCTATCATACTCCAATAACAAGACAAAGTCGACACGAGCGGAGGTGCCTGCAGACGCTTTACTCCAACTCCTAGTTTTCTGTCTGGAAACAAACTTCTCCTCTTCCAAACAATGTTATCGACAATTAAAAAGCGCTCCCATGGGTTAACCCCTGTCCGGTTTTCTGGCAGAGGCCGTAATGCAGAAATTATAAACCATGGCTCTTCCCACAGCTAACCCCAAACTCTGGCTGCGCTATGTAAATGACGCTTGGCATCGTCAAGAGAAGTCAACTGAATCCGCTCCATACCGGTGTTAACTCGATATTTACAGGAATCAAGTTTGCATTCGAAACAGGGGTTGATGGACAACTCCCATTTCGGGATGTCCTTGTGCAATGGAAAACTGATGGATCACTTCACACATCAGTTTATCGTAGTGGTATATTCAGAGGTCATCATACATTTTGAGAGTACCCACCCTGTATCTCACAGACGGTGTACAGTCTACAGCCTTCTGAATCGAGTCAAAGCTCACTACTCCGATGAAACAAGTTATGGCGCAGAAATGAAATACCTCTACAAACTATTTTCCCAAAATGGGTATCCCCATAACTTTATACGTCAATGCATGAGGCATGAGGAATAGGTATTTCCAATACTACGGCCGCTTGGGCCAATCCCGAAGAGGCGACAAATTGTAATTAACACGCATTGGCACAGAATTTAACCAATCATGGAATCCTTTGTTAGATTCAGTTAAAAAATTAACTGTTCTTGCACGCCCCAAGTCCGAAGACGAGCAGTCTCAAAAATCTGCGTAATAAAAGTTATAGTTTCCCAAAGAATTCCATCTTCCTAAACATTACCCGCAAAGACAAGCGGACTGGGGTGGCTATTTCCGGCTTACTAGCCGTCGTCAGCCAACCACGCCGAAAATCGAGGTGTGCAATACTTGGGTCTCGATCCGCGACCCGTTGATTAGAAGTCTAACGCCCTAACCACTGAGTCACGGCCTCGCTGTCCTGTCGGCTGCGATCGGGTATATAACATAGCAGAGGGGCGCTCACCGATCGCGTTACTGGACTCACTCGTTCTGCAGTGCCTTGGGGCTCCCCTCGAACCCCGCCGTCAACCATACAGTGGCAAGTAATGCAGGCAGAATGGCATTGCCGACTAGGACAAAGGAGACTGGAATAGTCATTTTCGGTTTACTAGCCGTTACCAGCCGACCATAACCAAGCTCAGGTTTGACACCCTGGCGGCTCGAACGTGCGTTGTGTTGGTTAAAAGTCCAAAGTTCTAACCACTAAGCCACGGTAATGCTATTCTGCTTATTATACTAGCCACTGAGCGGCTGCTGACGGGACTCGAGACTGGGCTTAAAGGCACAACAAGACGAGCATGCCCCGTAAAGCGATCGGTGAATGTCCCTCTACCATTTTGCTATATATGTATGTATACGAGCAAAAGGCTGGCGGACTTACCTTATCTACCCGGAAGAGGAATTTGTACTGCGAAAGCAGAGCGTTCTTGGGTTCA